GATTTAACATCTTTAGGACTCTAAAGAACTTGTACTGGGGCCGGGAACTTAGCTCAGCAGCATAAGTGCCTACCTGGCAAGCACCAAGCTCATGAGTTTGAGCCTCAGTTAAAAAAAACTTGTATCAGTGACTAGAAAAAATAGCAGTGTCAGACGTGGTTGCTACTGTGCCCAGGAAGCACTGGCATCCCTGTATGGAAGAGAAGGCAGGGCAGAGCAGAGAGTGAGCTGCCAAGTGGAAGCGGAGGAGCATTTCCAAGGAAATTTCTGACCCCATCACATGGGAGACAACCTCTAGTGAAAGTGCTTAAATGCTTGACAGAATGAGCATTTTGAAGGGTGGCTCAAGTCCAGCATCATTCATGTAAATAAAATCAGCCAAGGAAATTTTGGCAATGGACATGGACGTGAACTCGCTCATCTGTTAAGGCTCCTGGGAAATTGAGGTATTGGGGTATCTTTAGACATTCAGAACATAATGAAATTCAGCTCCCTTTCACAATGTGTGTTCTCTCATTCTCTACACCCCTTTGATAATTAATGCATATGACCACTATGTAATGCCAATTTCCTTTTAAATATTTAAATTTTGACTCCCAAACTAGGAGACCATTTATGCAGGAAACAGGTAGAAAACTTACCTTACACTGTTAAGATGAATGCAATAGTGTGCATTGGGATTAACTCCATAGTAAAAAGACCAAAGACACAAGGACCAATCTCAATATTCCAGTGTCAACTCATTGTCTGAAAGAGAGGTTTGATAAGCAAGACCCTGCTGTCTGCGGGACAGCTGCAACGCGAGCCAGCTGAAATCCCCAGTTCTCATTTCTTTTCAGTGTAGGTTCAACACTGCCGCTCATGGCATTTTCACTTCAGTAATTTCATTATAGGTATAGTCAGGTGCCTTTGCTGTCAAACCATGTTATTATAATAATAAGGAGCTATTGAAATACTAGAGCTAAATCTCTATAAAATAGAAATAATATTATTACTTTAACTGCCTAGAAAATGTAGCCTGCTTACTGTATCGACATTCACGCTGATTTACAGCATAATTTTGCATTCTACAATGCCTTAAGAACTTTAATATGTGTCTAGCTTTTATGACTATGGTTTGGTTTTGATTACACACATAAAATATAAATTAGTAACTGCAGATAATATGTCTTACACCACGAGCCAAAGGATCCCGGTGTGCAAACTATAGTCCAAAAGAGTCAAAGGGAAAAGTCTGAAAATTTCCTCCATGTTTTCAGACCAGTGAACTCCTGCGTGGACACTGCAGTCAGTATCAGTTTGTCGAGGGAGGGTGTAGAACATTTGTAAACAACACCCTGTGGAAATCTCAGTGTGGTAAGATTTCAGGTGTCCATGCGCTTACCTAGACTTTCTGCAGTTACCTGTCATGTTGGTCAGAATTCTGAAAATGGATTCATGGACTCTTACAACTGGAAGGTCTCTTAGCAATCACCCCTGACAGCTTTGTGCCTTTGATCAGAACCTGCTTCTAGCCCATGGTGGATCTGATTCTACTCACATCATTACCCTTAATGTCACCTCTGCAGTTTCACTCTCTGTTCAGAATCCAGATCTATAGCAGCAGTCCCAATACCTACTCCTCTATTGCTTCCAAGTTTTATTTTCTGTTCTTCCATTGCAAGCTAGTTTTTCTGTGGTGCGGCTCTTTTGTATTTCACTTGAAGAGTAAAGAGCCACCAAAAGAGACAATGGAATAATCCAGAGACACCCTGCAGGAAAAATTCAGGCTGCCCTGACTGCCCACCACACCGTAACTTTCCCCAGGGATCTGACCCAGCTGTTAGTGAACTGAAGATCAGTCAACGATGTCACACCATAAATTATCTCCAATATGAGGATTCTAATTTCCTCATCCTTCAACTCCCAGCTTAACTACTTCATCCTCCTCACTGACTGATATTAATAATTAATATCATTTCCCTCGTGTCCCAAGTGCTTTGCATAAATCTCTATTGTAGTTAAGAGTCTGTCTCCCAGTGCAATCATGTAGTTTCCTGAGGAAGTAACTATATCTTATCACTTTCATATCTTCCATCCCCAGAATAGAATAACTGTTTTAAAAACGTCTGAATGTAGAAGAAAATATCAAATAAAAAAATAACAATAGCATTCTCTTTTATTGAACATCAAGTATCATCTGAAATAGAGTACAAAAAAAATGTGAAATCTTATCTCCTCTTTTTATAAGCATAAAGAAGGCTTATGAATATAGTCAGGAAATTCTAACCACAGTACTAAATTCATTTCCAAAAAGAAGGTAACTTTTCATGGTCTCTGTACCTTTGATAACCCTTTCTGATTTTATATATTTATTGTTTGTTCAGCTAAGTCTCAATGCCCTGCATCCTCCAACAGTGGTGACCAGTTGCATACCTGCAGCACGGACGCAAAGTATAGAAAAGTGCCAACATTTCCTTTTGTAAGCACAGCTTCGGCACATGGAATTGAATTCAGAAGTCCTTTCATTAATGTCACTTTTAAAATAAATTGATTTTGGAAACCATTGTCTGCCGTACTTCGCTTGCTGCTTCTTCCATTCAGCACCCGGTACTGTAGTCTTCACGGAAGAACACTAGAGGGTTCTGCTTCCCATTTTTCAAAGGCTTTCGTGTCAACCAAGCCAAGTACAATTACAGCTCTTCCCAGAAGAAGGAAAAGAATAATGTTGGCAGTCGGGCGTCACCACCCAGAACCACAGAAAAAGCTGCAAATATACCCAAAATGGCTTTCTCAGCCTTTATAAACCCAGAAACCTACGTGGCACTTTCTATGGCTGGAGGCAGCACTTTGGGAAATTACCTTTAGAAAGCTGGCTAGAGGTCTATCGGAGCCTTGAAAATAGCCTAAACCCGAGGAGAGAATAAATAAGCAGATTTGGTTTTAATAAGCCTGCCAATTGTATTTTCTTTTCTTTTCTTTTTTTTTTCAAAATGCCAAAAATCAAATAACGGGTAAATTTTTCCCAGCTGGTAAACACATTCAGATTTTCAACCAAAAACCCCTAAAAGGATTAGGACCAATGATGAGAAACTAAGAAAATCATTAATTCCTTCTTGTCAAACTAGAATGGAGAAATCGGTCATATTCAATCTGCATATTTTTCTCTCCACTTAGCATAACCATGATCATAAAAAAGCACAAAATCATGTATCATCTGTGTTTATAGACAGATAAGAGGCTTCTAAGTTTGTCACCCCACATCTGTCAGAACTAACACAGTAAATGCATCAGATAAAATTAATGAAGAGAAGAAAAAAATGAAAACCTTCTTGTCTCTCATGTCAAGAGACAATGTAGCTTTAATTTGTCACTTTCAGCTTTGGGAGACTTTCTGAACTGCTAGGGTATTTGCTTAGTGAATCACTTCACTTGCTGATCATCTCATCTCCCTGGTCCCCATAGTCACTCCTAATTAAAACAAAAACCATACTGCTTGTCACTGCTTCAATAATATGATCCTACCATTTCTCTTTTCAAAACCTCAAGGTAGCTTTTAATTGTACTAAAACCTGGAATTCAACTTAAAATCAGTACTGGGGCCCTCTGTCCATGCCTGAAATGCTCTTGAGTCTCTCACCCAACTGCTGGTCTCCTGGCTCTGCAGGCCTGGGATGGCACAGGGGCCATCCATCTTCACTCTAATAACATCCTGCTGTGACTGCCCTTTTTCTTGATTGTATCTTTCTCTGCTCCAATAAATAAACACTCAGGAGAGAGCAGCAGCAATGGGTAGATTGGGCGATCATGCTGCAGTGCTGTTTAGAAAGTCCAGGTGCAACAGATTCTGCCTTATTTCTTGTAAAACATAAACTGCATGTTTTCAGCTTGTCAGTGAGTTCACCACACTCTTCAAATCCAGATAATATAGACGCAGACATTTCACTTTGGCCATCCTCCCTCACTCCTCACTCCTGACTTAGTCCTTCCTTGGTCCATGAAAAATAAGGAACCCTGGCTTTCCTGTGTGCTGAACTTTCCTGCAATGTCCTTCCATAAAAGGAGTTGGTTTTGTTTCAGAGCCAAGGAATCTGCCTCCAAGGCTTTGGCCTGAGTTGTGGAGGGCTTTTTTTTTTTTTTTTTTTTTTTTCCTTTTCTTTTTTTAATACTTTTAGACAACGTGGAAGTATCTGGAATGTTGCCTTCAGTCTCAGCCGTCCTAGAAATTACTCAGTGTTTCAGGGCCCCCAGCCAGAAGCCACTTCCCTGCCATCCCTGCCACGTTAGCTCCAGCACTGATGTGGGTTCAGAAAGCCTGGCGTAATAGGATTTGTTTGCTGAGAGACCCTCTGCAATAATTCCCACTAAAGCAGCCCCTCCATCTAGTTCCACTAAGCCTCCTCAAAGTTTAAACTACCAGGACCTTGAAGAGCTGGTTGTTACCCAGTCAAGCAAGCACCTTGACCTAGGAATGCCCTCCTTAGAAGGGGGTTCTGTTTCTAACTTGTGGGCTACAAGAGGAGAGATTTCAGGACAGTAATATTTTACAGATTTCCTGCGGAGATGGTCTCAATATAACTCCATCTAGTGCAGCCACCTTTGCTAACTCCCCCAACGCACTATGCAGAGGCTGTAACAATGATCTGGACTTTCAGAATCTAATCAAGTTTCACACACTCAAATGTTTTTTTTTTTTTTTTTTTCATTTTGGGAAAAGAAATTTTTGTTCCCAGGTTCCGGAGTTTGAGCCACCTTCTCTGCAAACGCCAGGGTGGTAGATGGTCCTTAGGATAAGAGGCTTCTCAACCCAGAGCTGAAGCACTAGAACCAGGAGCTCATCAGTCAGAGAATTTTGAGAAATTCAGCTTGAAGAAAGAATTGTGCACTAGTTGGGTTCTGCAAGAAAAAATTGCCTGATTCCAGGCAATCTCACAGGATATCTTGCTGTACCCAGCCTCCTTGACTCATGTGAAGACCTACTCCCTGTCTGCATACACCATGAAAGACAATCAGGGTTTGAGTCTTGTTGAATTAGACATGTTATTTCATGCCACTGAACATTAGTAAATTCATCCATGAAAACTCCCCTCCTCTGCTCATAGCCAATCCCTCTCTGTCATGGTTTAATTTTAGCATCCAATTGATTGTCTGGTCTCATTTCAGGTCACTCACAGAAGAGCTTTCTTTCCATTAGGAACTTTGTTGATTGTAGATCTGTGTCTTTAATACCTAAAAAGATGGAATGGAGAAATGCTAGGAAATCCTTTTCATCTCATTTTCTGTCTGCCACTAGCAAACTTTGACCTCATCCAAGTTATCTGAGCTGATGCTTACTGTTTCTTCATCTGTAAAATAAGATCTCTGAACTACAGAGTATTTGTTTCTTGAGATGGGAGTGTAGTTCAGTGGTAGAGCACTCACCTAATACATACAAGGCTCTGGGTTAAAGGAGTACTTGCCTACTATATAAAAGGTTCTGGATTAAAAACCTGTTTTGTTTTGCTATTTTTTTTTTTTTTTGATACCAGGGATTGAATTCTTTGCCTCTCACTTGCCAGGCAGGCACTGTGCCACTGAGCTGTATCCAGGGTCTAAGTCTAATTTTTTAAGGCAGTGAAGAGTTGAGGCTCAGCAAAGTTAAGAAGCTCACCTCAAAGCCAGAGCTTGTTAGGATGAGGTCAGGACCAAGTCCCAGCAGTCCAACTGGACTGAGTCACCACAGGTCATCCTTCTGATGTAAGATGTACTTAGCAGCAAAAGGCGGCCCAGCATGACCCTGGAACAGCTCGTCACAGCCTAATCCAGCTATAAAACAGAGAGAGTAATAATAATAATAATACCAACTTAAGGGGCCCGATAAATGAGTAACTAAATGTAGGCAGAGAGAAAGAAACGGGTATATGAAATAGTAGGCACTCAACTGAAGTCCACTTGAATCCCCTTAGTGTAGTGAGTAATAGTGGTTACCCTTTGGGACTTCTGACTAGCATTCCAAGTTTTGTTTTAAACTTTTTCTTTTTGATCAACTTTAGTCTGATTTTTGTATATGGCAATTGAACTTGCTATCAACTATAAAAATAATAAAGATATATGTTGTGGGTCATCCCTATACTATTTATCAGAAATATTGATAGCATACAGTCTAAAACCACAAACTGAAGAACTTGAAACAGTCTCAGAACTTCCTGACTTCTAGACATTTCTCTTCATGGACATTTTATTTCCCTATATGGGATCAGTTGTTTTTCTTCATTAAAGATATCAGAAATGAAGAAACATTAGGAAAATTGCACTGCTCATTCTTTGAATTTGCATTATTTACTGTTGTTAGTGTAGCTTTAGCCACAGTACTGCGACATAGTTTTCCCTGTGTTAGAAAATTCTGTGGTCATTTTGTTATTCAGAAAAGTTTGCTGAGATTGAAATTGAAAGAGTTCTGAACTATGGATAACCCATGCACTACTATGTGATTGCTACATTATTAGTTTTCTTAAAATTATTCTACCAAAAAACACAGATTTATTTGGAATGATTCAGAACAACGAAATAAATACAGCACTGATTTCAAATGCAAATGCCATGTCATTTCTAAATAAGTCAATCTTCAGAAGACAATGATAAGCCAACCACGTAATTTCTGCATGTCAAAGAGTTTTAAAGGTGTTAGCTAATAAATTGAAGTACACATCAAAGTTTTTAAAATAAAAATGTTAAATATAAGTTACTTCTTCATACATATCTAAAGCCTGTCAGGTACAGGGGAAAATAATCTGCTGCACCCCACCTGTTAACTGAGCCGCCCCTCCTCACAAAGATGGCCGGTGGCGGCCTCCTGGTTCCATCTCTGTGGCTGTGTCCTTGAGTTCTAGCCTCTCCTGCAGCAATCATGGCAGAGCTGCAGTGTGTCAAGTCCAGGTGGCAAAGTTAGCTGGACTTCAGAGTACCAGATGCAAAAGGTATTTCTGGATCTGTCAAGGACCTAGCCTAGGATAATGGGTAGCTTCACTAAGGTGATCACTTCACCTCAGCAAGAAAGGATGCAGAGCGACTACAAGCAGACATCCTCCCAAGGAGACATTTAGAGCAGTTCTGGACTAGCCAGGCCCATGAGCTGTCTTGGGCTCTCTTGGCTGTGGGTGTTCAAATTAGTCCCAACATCTGTTTTCACCAGCTGTTAAAACCTAAGCCCTCTCTCCTCAGCCAGGTTGCATTCATATTTTTTAAAAGAGATTGACACTACCTGTTGGTAATTTATGAGTGAGTGGGCTGAGAATCAAGGAGGTGGAAAAATCGTGACATGCAAATGCGATTTCCCTCCCCTTATGGCTCAGAATGTTAATCATACAAGAAATACTCCTATTCTTCACGAGGAGGATGCACATGACCTTAAATTAACAGGGGCTTGTAAAATCTAGTATGCTTCTCTGTTCCTAAAGGTGGAGGCTGAGTAAACTACTGCTTTTTCACTGGGATTTACAGCATGGTAAACAACGCAACCGGAAATGACAGCGTCCAGTCCAGCCCCTGGGTGGCCCTTTCTGCTCCTTAAGCAGAATCCGTACCCTGCCCCTTTAAGGCACTGGGGTTTGCTAACTCGCCAGAGGAGGAATTCTGCCCTCCCTGGACTGAGTCAGACTGAGCAGCTCAGAAGAATGCGCCCCTGCGAGCCCCCAAGCTTTCCACTGTGGAAAGACAGCCCAGCCCCCCACGGGAGCCTTCCCACTCCCGACCTCCAGGGCACAGGCCACAGTGTTCCTTACAGGGAGCGCCAGAATGTTCCAAAGGCCTGCGAAAATTAGAAGCATACTTCCTGACTCAAACAAAGCCTGCCCTCCGCATGCAGGAGGGCCCCAGAGAGAAGGCAGCTGCGGGGTGGGCCAGGCGCAGACTGAGGCCTGGAGAGGCAAGGGGTGGCTGTCTGGTGTGCCCTCCTGTACCACACACACACACACACACACACACACACACACACACACACACACGTACTGTAAGTCATTGTCTCAGCCAAGGGGGACAAAAGGAAAAGTTTCAAGGCAGCTTGAAGCACAGCCCCACCCCCTGACCACGTGTGAGAAAGGAGATGGGAGGGGAAGGAGGGAAGAACCAGATGAGTGCACTGAAAGAAGAAATAAAAAGAAACAAAACGAAGTTCTTTCTCCTTCCCTCCTCCACTCTGAGATATTTTGGCAGCTTCTAACCTTGCTAACATTCCCAAGAGTAAGTTTCAAAAAAAATACAGCTTATTCAAGAGACCAGCACAATTCAGGGCACACACTTCGAACTTCCACCACAAGTGCTAAGAATGACAGTAACAAGGCAACCGTGAAACTGGGCGTCATCATGGAGGAAGAGGGGAGGGACCAAGCAGAATGAGGAACATAGCCCTCTGGGACCACGCATGCCAGTCTTAAAGCTGGTTGTGGCTTAAAATCAGGTTGTGGCTCAGGTCTGTAATACTAGCATTGGGGAGGCTGAAGCAGGCAGATCCTAAGTTTGATCCCAATCTGGGCAACCAGCCAATTAATGAGGCTCTAAAGAACAGGGGCGGCGATGCAGCTCCCCGTGAAGGCCCTGGGTTCAATCCCCAGTACTGCAATAGAAAATACCTCAGGCACAGAGCTGTCTCTGCTCCCTCCCAAGGCTGCAGTGGAATCAGTTGTGGGAAAACCATTGTATAATTTTGTTTCCAAATGTTTCATTTTTGTTTGATCTAGTGTATGAAATAGTATCAAAAACAAAAACGAGTCTCCTTTAAACACAAAGAACATAGATTATTCCATGAAATATGACCTTACTTTCTCCCACAAATTGGGTAAATGAAATAAATTGGCTACATAAGTAAATAGGTGGTCTAAAAGCAGAAATTTAAGTTTTGCTTCATAAGAGTTTTATGTAATACTGGTTAGCTTATGTTCTGTGATTATTTTGACTTAAAGTTGAAACACTAAAATGGCAACTAAAGATCTGCTCATACCTTATTCTTATTTAAAATATGCATCCTAATATGTGACTTTTAACAATATATGTTGTGGGGCTGGGGATTTAGCTCAGTGGCATAAGTGCCTGCCTTGTGAGCAGGCAGTCGTGAGTTCGATCCCCAGTACCGATAAAAAGGAAAAAGACAAAAAAAAAAAAAAAAATATATATATATATATATATATATATATATATATATATATGTTGCTTTTGCAATGGTATAACCATCTTTAATTAATCTTGTCCACCTAGCAACACATTTATCCAGGGATCAAATGAGTTTTTAGGTGAAAATATGAAAGAGTCAAAAACCATTCAAGGAACTATTGATTTCATGTTTCTTCTGAAGACCTGAAGGTGTCCTTTTCCAATCAACTCATTAGCTTGGAATTTACAATCTTTAATAACCTGGTTGAAACTTTCTTGTTTGCTTTTGTTTGTTTTCCTACTGTTCGTTTTAATGTCTTTCTGCACTTTGAATCACACAAAATCCACCCATTTTCCTCCTCATAACTTCTCTCAGGCTATTTCCTTTTTTAAAAAAAATGACTTTCTTCTACCCCCATCCTCTGGCTATTTTGCTTGCATCTAAGCTCTTCCAACTGTTTCTTTGCTTCTTGTTTGCTTTTTGTGGAACTGAGACTTGAACTCAGGATGCTCACACTGAGCTACATCCCCAATCCTTTTGAAATTTTTACAGTGTGAGATCTCCCTGACTTGCTCAGGCTGAGGTCAAACTTGTGATCCTCCTTACTCCAACTCCCAGAATGCTGGGATCACTGATATGCCCACTGTGCAAGATCCAATGTGTTTTCTTGTATAGATTATTGATTTATGGCCTCTATTTTGGTTCCTTGTATGTCTTATGCCTCTCAGTGGATTATATTTCCTATTTGCTTTTTAGAGTCATACTCCCTGACTATGTTTATCCTAACCTTCATCTTTTAAAAGTACAAAATTTCCTAAAGACGTTCCAAAAGTCAAGACAGAAAATGCCAGGTAGAATAATGTATTTTCCTCAGGCATCTAGCAGACGCTCTGTTAGTGTATATAGATATCATCGAGACATAAACATGTTAGGTCTGAGCCAGACAGATCTGTCAGGCAACAAGCACAACTCAAATAATAATATCAAGCCTGATTCCCAGCTCTGCACCTCTGTTCCAGATTACCACCTTGCATCTGTGGCTGTTGCTTTTGGAGTACTGAGTTGGCCAAGCGCGTCCATTTGTCTGATTAGGTTTGCTTAATCAATATAAAATAGGTTTATTACAAGACCCAAAATGTTCCTATCCATTCCTCTACAAATCCTCCGCCTTAATCTACTTTCATGGGAACTGCTTCTGAAAGCCCTCCTGTTCCAAGGGTTTCCATTAGACTTGTGAAACACTCCACCAAGTTACCTAAAGGTGAAAATTAATTTATTCTCAAGACCTGAATAGTTTTCTCTTTAATTGAACACTGCCTTCCCCGCCCTATTATGTGCTTTCATAAGAATAAATACCTTCTCCACCAAGCTGCCCTGCCCCATCCCCCCAAAAGCCCCTGGTTTCTGAAGGGTCAGGGACTTTAAAAAGCGTTGCCACTGATTCCTCAGAAAGCAATGTGCAGTGCAGCTGTCCTACCCTCACGCTGGCCTCTCACATTTCTGTCTCTTGCCTTTCCTCCAACCTCTCTCCCCGCCTTCAGGCATACTTTCCATCTCTGTTATTGCTCTTTCCTGCTTTCTCTCCCCTGCACCCTTTCATTCCCAGCTCACCAGAAGCTTATGGGGGAGGGGAAAAGCAGGCCTGGGCCGGGCACAGACCCTGCAGGTGCTGCGTTTCTCCCAGGCATGGAGGAGTCACTAATGCTCCAAAACAACTAAAGCATTTTAAATGAAGATGCATACATACATCTTTCAAACAACTCAAAATGACACAAATTATTCTGCCCTTTATGAGGCTGAGAGAGAGAGAGAGCACTCCGGTTGAAGAAAATAATGCATGCCTCTGAAATATTACCAGATATAAATCACTGTTTCAGAGCTGTAGATTTTCCTGCATAAAATCCAGAATTTGAAGATCACTTTCTATAGTCCTAAACAAAACAACCACTACATCCAAGAGAAATTTACTTAAC